TCCAAATACTCAGGATCTAGATGTTCATAAAGAAACAATTGTATTATAACAAGAAAGAGTAACAGATAGATTTACGCATAAAATCCGTATAATGAATTTTACTACATAAAAAAGATGGACTACCTTTGAATATGGTCCCTTCACGGCCATCTTTCTTTGACCATTGCTTTGGGACACGTTGTGAAGGAGCATATTCAACAATGGGTCTAAACTGCGTGCCTGAAAAAAAAGTAATAGCCTTCAACTAAAGTCCATGACTAACATAGCATTCTGAAAGGTCCCTCGTTCAACTAAGATAAGCTACTGATCAATGGGTGAAAGTTTAAATGGGTAATCAAAGTGCCCATATAGAAATAAACCAAAGTAAAAAGGTTCGAACAATCATAACCAATATATGGGAAACAAGAATACCAGCAGCTTATAGCTGGTTAAGAGGATGAGCTCAAAGACCTAATCAAGTAAAACTACATGCTGATATAAGACCTGCTAAATTATTTTTCAAAACAAAAATTATTATGTTAATTAATTTAAACATAATATAGACTCAACAATTACCCTTCTCATTAACAAAAACGTGCCCATTAAAGAACTCAGCAAACTCCAAAACATCATCTGGCCTCTTGAAGTCAATGTAGGCTCTAGAATATGATTGCTGCCTCTGACTGCAAAGAACATTTTGAGAAAAATTAGAGTAAATCCCTTCCCCAATGTTATTTTAAGTATATATGACATACCTTAACCTTAGAATTATATTCTTGCAAACCAAACAAACAAGCACGTAAAGATAACATCACTTCTCCAGATGATTGTTATATCCAGCAAAGAAACACTTCAGAAATACAAAAAAACTTCGGGAAGAAAAAAACACAATAAGATCTTTGATCAGCTGCATAATGAGACAACATAAATGATGCATTTGGCATTAGTTTAACATCATTGAAGAAAACAAAATCTAAATTCATCGAAGTGATTCTCAGATAAATACTGATAGCATATGATCTATAATGTAATTTCTATAATGTAAAACCTACGTGACGGATTGACTTCAAAACAAAGAATATTTCATGTTGGAGAACATAAACAATATTCCTTCTCTTCCATCTGTATGAAGAAATAGAAAAGAATCAACATCCTAGATTCTCGTTTGCAGCTTCCCAACCAGAAAATTTAGTAACCTAAGTTAAAGACAGCAAGTCATACACATACATAGATATATGTGCTTGTATTAATACTGATTCCATCAAGAACTGAGGATTAAAAAGGCAGAACTATTAATTAGACAACAGAAAAGCATCAAAATTGATAATCACCAATCACACTGATTAAATTGTTGACAAATATAAAATCCACCGCTCCAACATTTAACCTCAGGTAACATATAGTAAACAGAATGGCATTTATTAGCACTCCTCTTGCCCATTAATTCACTAACGTTCAATCATTCATCAATCCCAAGGTATAGCCATTCATTCCCTGCAATAGGTGAACTCAGATTTCAAATATAATCTTACGCAACTAGTTAGCCCCTCAACTAATAACTTCAGACTTGTATTTCTTGTCCCACAGCACGTGCATATGTCTGTGTGTGTTACGAACATAATCCTCATTGATTATGAGGCTGATGCTCCTCCCTCCATTTTCCCTTAGGACATTTACAACATTCTATTTAATTTTTTTCAATTCCTAAACCCATAAGGCCCCCCATATGTTATAACTTTAAAATGCATTATATCTCTAAAAAAGCCTGCAGTACACATGCATGTTTAACAGGCAACTCGGCTTATTTCCTCTGTTGTCTCTAGTGCAAAACCCGTAAAAACATTCACACACCTAATTCCTTCCATAAAATTACCTATTCACACACCTAATTCCTTCAATAAATTACCTACTCACACACCTAATTCCTTAACATTAGAGCTCGCATAATAAGCCAAAAGGATATATATATATAGTTCATCCACCTCCCTCGACCCAATGAAACCTATGAAACGCTACAAATCTTTTCGTCGTACGTATTATATGGACGCGCGCACATAAATTCATTACATAGTAAACTGAACAAACCTACACAACCATCAACAGGCTGTCAACAAAAGGAAATAAAATGCTACGTAGAACGTGAAACCAAGTTCCTAACTATGCAAACATCGCAAAATATTTGACCAAAACCCAAAAAGAAAGAACCCTAACCTGCCCTTCCCAGGACGGAAGGAAACCCAATTGTACCTCCCAGAAAACGCGACGTCGATTTGCTCCATAAGCGTCGCCTGCGAAATTGCCGGCGGCAAGTGCCGCAGTACCACCTTGGTCCGATCCAACGGACCCTTCATTGCCCCTCGAAAAGGAAAAACCCTACTATAATTCTCCCACCTAAAATTTCTGATAGCGCTCACAAATTGATTCAAGAGACGAAAATCTTTACGAGATTACATCTTCTTGGAGTGACGTTTGCATCGATCAAGGTGGATTTTGGTGCCCTAATTTTCAATTCCTCCGAAATTAACACGCATGTAAAACTTGAGAGAGAGACGGGGAGAGCGAGAGAGAGAGAGAGAGAGAGAGAGAAAGAGAGAGGAAGAAAGGGAGTGATGTAAAGAGAGAATTGAGTGTAAAGCATATATACGATTGTCTTCTGTGTGAATTTAAAGAGTCCCCGTTTTTTCTCTCTTTTAATGGGTTTTCTTTACGAGTATATTTTGTGTTGTATGTACCACGCGCACGTAGGTAGATTCGTGTGTGTATCCTGTATACTATTGTAAAATCAACTATAAAATAAAAGGTGAAAATATTAAATTGTTCCATGAATTATTTTAAAATATTTAAATTAATCATTGTATTATTTTTTTAATTTTATTCTTATATTTTTAAAAAATTTATAATTTAATCTTTGATCGTTAATGTACGCTAATACAGTTAATGAAAATGTTACGTAAATTCATATATCACATTTTGATTGAGTCATTATTTATGTTAGATATCACATATATGATGACTTAACACGTGATATTGTAAATTTTAAAATCTAAAAACTTATGAATTGGTCTAGTTTAATAAAAAGAAAAAATTAATTTAAACTAATTTTTTTAATCCTAACGTGCCTCGTTCTCACATTAGCACTATATATTCTGTCGCCACCAATTTTATTAGACAATGTGCATTAGAGTAAGAGTAGTATTAAAGAGTCAAATGTGGTTATATAAAAAGATGCAAAAGCTAAAATAAATATTGAAGATAATAGGATACTTATACGAAGATGGAACGGATGTCTATCGACTCTATTAAAGTTTTTTTTTTAAATGAGTTTTTGAAAAACAATATGAAAAAGTTAAAATAAAGACTGAAGGTAAGAGGATATTCATATGAAGATGGGAAGGATGTTGGTGGACTTCGCTAAGGTCTCTTTTGAAATGGATTTTTGAAAAATAAGAGGTTAATGTTCTCAAAAACAATCAAGATATTGAGGAGAACAGAGAAAGCTTAGGGAGAGAGGGACGAAGAGTTTTTTTTTTTTTTCCCTTATGATGAGATAAAAATGGAGTTTATATGGTTCTTTTGGAAATTGAATATAGAAAGAGAAACAAAGAGTTTTAAGGGTGAGTGTTATTTCTTTTGGAACTTTCTTTTTTCGGATTTATAAGAAAAACGAATGAAATAACTTCACTTCTGAAAATAAATTAATTAACCATATTAGAGAGGAAAGGTTTGCCAGTGAGCAGCAAGCATAGCATATTTGCTCACTAATCATTAAATAAATTAATTAAGTTCCATATTGTTACTTCAATTCTGGCTGCAATTTCATTCTTAAATACTAGCTTAAGATAATGTTAGTATAAATTAAGTGTTTATCATTCTATCGAAGCTAATACATATATTTCAATAAATAATAATCTTGATCTCGAAATATTATATTATTACAATTTACTCATTCTCTTTAATCTTACCATTTAGTTTAACAATGTCTCATATGTTTTAAGTGTGTGAGCCTACACTTGATTATCACATGAGCTAAAAATTAAGTGATAATAGATAATGATAAAAGTCAAACTATCAATGATGAATTATAATATTTTTGTATGAATCTAGTAATCAGAATATGTTTAAGATGAGCGTTAACATTGTTACCATAAATAAAAATGATTTAAATACAACATGTGTAAACTAATTAAATAGATGTATATAGAGCGAATTGTTGAAGATCGTCATAAATATAGATGATTATCAAAATATAAAATGTTAAATTAAAAATATTAATTTTGATAAATGACATAAATTTATTTTATACTAAATATGGCAATTGAATTTTTGAATAAGCAAGATACCATGACTCAAGAAAGTGGAACACTTTGTAAAAGACCATAAATACATCAATAAGAAGAAAAACAACTAAAGATCAAGTAAGATTTTATTTTTAAGTTATTGATATTTTATATAAATTAGTTAACTCATTGCACGAAACTTAAAATTTTCAATCATAAAAATCACTTTGAAATTTTTTATTTTTTTGGAA